CAAAAATGGCTCCACAGCTGACTCAAGGATACAGCAAGGATCAAAAGTGGCATGTCTCTCCAGCAGCAGGGTGAAATCAGCCATCTGTATCTCTGGCACTGTGTTTAAGAGACACAGCTGCACTGATCCCTATTTCTTTCTCTTTATTTTTTTCCCTTCCCTCAATCAAAGGTACCTTTATTGGTACTTACTGTAGTGAAAACAAAATTCAAGAAAATTATATCAAAGAAAATATACAGAAGTATAATGGTTTACAATCATGACAATTTTTTGGGGGGGTTATAGAGTATCAAAAAGTAAGTGAATAGCACATCTGAATTTTACAAATAAATTAGGTTTTGTGTTTAACTTTGCCTTTCCTAAAAACTGTGATGCATCAGAAAATGAGATGTTTTACTGTTGTTTAGTTTGGGTTTCTTTAGCATAGCTCCGGTAGTTAAAAACAGTAAAAGCACAAAAGCAAATTTTATGAAGAACTAAATATAAAGTCTTCCAAGCACCAAGAAGCACTAAAGCAAAAAATGTTTTGGGATAACGTTATGATTTTCAGGGAAAAGCAGACAATTCAAAAATTTCCTTTGATTAATAGTATCAGCTCATTTTAACTATAAACAAATCCAGTTCCATTCTGGCTGACATCTATGTGAATCTCTAGAATTAAGCTATCAATTTCAGTAGAAAAACTATCTTCTTGCCTCTTAAAATGCTCATAGTGTAACTGCAGATCTGCACCTGATAGCCAAGTAAGATGGCTAATACATGACAAGGTAGGACAAGATACATGTCCTGGAAGCCTGAAAATAAATAGTCCACATGATTAAATAGGCTATTTTCACTCACTTGGATTCCAAAAGCTGAAGAATATCTGACATATTAAGAAGCCCTTCAGTTGCCAGAAATACATATGGAATCTGTACTTCCAGAAGATAGGATCCACCCTGATTCCCTGAAACATTTGTATATGTAGCACAGCAGTTTCATGAGCAAATAAACTAAAGATACATTTAGATATTTAAACAGATATATCTTTTAAAAGTACAGCTTTTATTCATCCCAAATAAAATGCTTTCATTATATCCTTTTTTTCTTTTCCTTCCAAAATTAAACACCTCTGTATCTCTTTGGAATTAGGCTGCAATTCAGGTTTCTTTAGATCTACAACATTCCCTTAGGATGAGGAAGGGTGGATATGGCTTGTAGTGACTGTAAACAACCTGTGAACTTGGCACTAGTCTCTTATAAACCAACATTTACTACTACATCCTGGCCAAAACTGGACTTACTCCCGAATAAAAACACCTTTCTTGCCGCACAGATTAACGGGCTCTGTTTGCTTAGCTTTGGTCTTCATAACTTATTACTCATTCTCTTCAACAGGGACACAAATGTAGCATTTTAGGGAACAGAAAATGTTTTCGTTTCATCTGCCAGCCTAACTGTTTGTTGTAACTGTGGAGAGCACTTACCCATTTGTGTTGTTTCAGGAACAGTGGTTATAAAAGTCATGTAGGCAACATTCAGATTTTTGCACAGATTTTTCCAGGAAGAATTTTCACAGTAATCATATTCCATTACTAATGAGAAGTGTATCCAAGGGAAGTCAGCTCCAATTTGCTGATTATGTACTATAACACCGGAGTATCTGCTAAGGCTTGGAAAACCCCAACAAAATATTAGTAAAACTAAGTTCAGATAGAAATACCCTCAGAACAAAATAAACTAATTTTTAATTTGATGAATTATCACTGTTTAAAGTCTGTTTGCAAAAAAAATGTTCACCCCTCCTGCACCTAAAATTTGAATTTCTTAAAAAATTAAATAAAAATTAAAAGCTGTAATTCTCTCCCTCCAATTATATGCTTGAAGTATTTGTATTTCCCTGCAGTTTCATCATTTATCATTTTTTCTCTCCTGCCCTTTCACCACCTTTTTCTAAAATTTGCAAAACAATCACGTTTTTCTACACATTTCTCTAAGCAAGTTTTTCTAAAACATGCAAAACAAAATAAAAAGTTAAGAACATGTAATTGTTTCTTCTCTAAAAGTTCCTCTGAGCCTCACTAAGCATTTTTCTACATTGTGGGCATAATTCTCTGCTCTCAAAATGAAGATGTAGGTCCATATTATGAAAGTTTTAGTGCAGACTAGAAAATCCCATGGAAATGAACAAAAGTAACTACAGTTTCACCGACCTTAGTCTTGACTAAACAGTTTGTTGTCAAAAATCAAGAATTTTACTTACTTGCTTATGATATCTTTGCAACCTAAACGGGTTCCTTTTTTCTCAGAATTCAAGTCCACAGCTTTTAAACCTGCATAAGAATTAAACTCTTGATGAAATAAATGAGCCTCTGCAAGTACGAATCAATGCACAGCAGCAGGTGTGCAACAACACAGGATATTAAAATTTTAAGACAGACATTGTCTGTCTTGATGATGTCCTACACAATTTCAGTTTGCATAGTATTGTTGGTGATAATGACTCAGAAACTTCCATCTTGGAACCCAAGGAAGATGTAATGCAAACAAGGTTCATTTCTCACAAACTCACAAGGCTATTGACTTAAAATGAAAAATTAAAAGGCAGAAGGAAGCATCTTTGCCCCTTTGTAAGTTAAATTCCTTTACACTTTCTATACTTTTAAGTTTTACAAGTATGTCTGGAAGACGTATCTAAAAAAGAATATTTATATAAAGCAAGTGCCTCTCTTCAAAAGTTCAGTTAGTTGGACTGACCTGTGTTTGCAATCAAGCCTTAAGATCTTAAAACAAATAAAACACTTTTCCTTAAATATTGTTATTAGTAAAAGCATTGTGAACATGCCTCCTCCCTTTCAAAACATTTTAAAAGACAGGCTTTCTCTTTTTAGGAGCACAGGAAATTTAACTTTATTTTTAAAGGCAAAAGGACAATACAATACATGACACTTGATAAGGTTCTCCTGAAACATGAAACATGTTTGTTTTACCAGCTGAATTTGCAATGTTGAACAAGCTTGTACAAAAATTACTCACAGGTAAAATGATGGACTGATGAAACTATATTGCTTGTTTCCATGGGCAGGAGAGATATTGGAAACAGTATTTTCTTTTTACCTTGAGTTTAACAGATTGCTACAGCTTATGCTGACATATTTAACAACTTAGCAAACAAGGTCAGCTACAGATGGCTAAGGGAAAATATGATCTGTACCTAACTATTCAGTCAAGGTTTTATGCTAGGGAGCTTAGTTAAGACTTCTACATTCCAGCTGCTCCCATCAAGCTTGCAAGGAAGCAAGCTTGTGAACAATTATGAGCTAAAACAATGAGAAGATCTGATCAAGACAACAGATGCAATTATCATTAGGTAATGGGCTGTCCACAGCTCCTTTCTGTTCTGTTAAAAAAAATAATCTTTGCTCTGACAGATGAACTATCATTCTCTTGTAACAGAAAACGTTATATCAGAACACTTAATTTAAAGAAAATAAAATTAAAAGAAAGAAAAAAGGCTGATGGAAGAGTTAGGAAACAAAAAATAGTGGCAAAAGTATATAGAAAGGTTCCTGATGTGGAGAAAAGGAAGAAACACTGGCACAAAGCATACAAACGGGAATGCAGCAAGCCACAGAATAACAGCTACTTTTTATTTCATAAATACGTAAAAATAATTACTTACCTCCTACTGTAGATAAAGTGTGAATGAGGGCAGCTTTTTGTCTTTCGGAGTCCATCCTTGTAATGATTAGTATCTGGAAGAAGATAAGTAAAAGAAACTAGTAACACTAAAGAGTTCTTCTTTTCAGCCTGCGTACATCTTTCTTTCTCCTTTGCACAGAAAGCACGAGATTGGCTAAACAGGGACAAAATAGAAAACTTGGAATTTTTCAGAATGACAATCACGGAATATCTCAAGTTGGACGGGACCCATAAGGACTGAGTCCAGCTCCGTGCTGCTCACAGGACTACCTAAAATTTAAGCATATGACTAGGAGCATTATCTGAACACTAATTGAACTCGGACACACTTTGTGCTGTGACCACTTCCCTAGGAGTCTGAGGTAACTCCATTCACTGCCACTCTCTGAGCCCAACCCATCAGCCAATTGTATCAGATGTATCACTCAATGTATTATGGACTTCTCTAGCTGTGTGATGGGCAGTTCACTGTGAAGGACATGTGAAGGGCACTGTGAGAGACAGTATTAAAACCCTTGCTAAATCCACCATAGTAACTGGCTTCCCTTGGTCAACTAGATGGGTGACCTTGTCAGAAGAGGAAAAAGAAAGGAAATTAAGTTGCTTAAGTAGAACTTCCTCCTCATGAACCTGTGCTGACTGGGGCCAATGACTGTGTTGTCTTTCAAGTGTTTTCCCAGAACAAACTTCTCCATAATTTTATTCGGCACTGAAGTGGGATTGACAGATCTGTAATTACCAGGGGCTTCCCTCCTTCTCCTCATAAAATTGGGACATTTGCCAGCTTCCAATCAGCTGGGACCTCTCCAGGCTGTCAAGACTGTTGAAACATAACAGAGATAGGTCCCCCAACGACCAGCTGTTTCAATACCCTGGGGTGAATCCCATTGGGCTCCATAGGTCTATGCACATCCAGATGGTTCAGCAAGTCTCAAACAAGTTCAGGGTTGGCTGGGAGTTTATCATCATCCCCAGACACAGTCTTCTAACACTGGGCTTTGGGAGTCCCAGGGCCCATCATAGGAGTTGAAGACAAAAGCAAAGAAGAGCCATGAATGTCTCAGCTTTGTCTATGTCCCTATTTCTGAGATGGCCAACCTTGTCAAGAAACATACAAATGTTACCCATTCTTGTTTTGCTACTAACTTATTTTAAAAAGCCCTTTTTGTTATCCTTTACAGTGCTGGCCAGATTGAATTCTAATTGAGCTTTGGCCACAGGAATTTTCTCCCTAAAGGAGTGAACAGCCTCTCTGTAGTCCTTCCATGTCACCTGTTCCTGCTTCCAAAGTTCATACACTCTCCTTTTCCACCTAACTTCTAGAAGCAGTTCTCTGCTAACCTGTAGCAGCCTTCTGCCTTGCTTGCTTGGCTTTTGATACATTGGAGTTGCCTGCTCCTGTGCTCAAAAGAGATGGCCCTTAAAAAGTGACCAGCACTCCTGGACCCCAATACCTTTAAAAATATATTTAAAACACATTATACCACTGTTGCACTAGACAGATTGTTAGTGCCACATTAGGGGCATTATCCTTATGGAGGCAAAACAGAAGATATCTAGAATTCAGCCTGCAAGACAATGATGTACTGGAGGGAGGTACTAGATGTACTGCTGAGCTAATTAGAAAGATTTTCCAGTCCATATATGGAGTGGACTAACGTGTTTCTGCCAAGGATCACTTATCTCTGAGTATGAAAATATTAAAAAGGATTAGAATCTACCAAACTGACACAGTATGAAAAAGAATCACCACCAAAGAAGGTGTTTACCTCATCTATCATTTCAGCTGATACAAACTGAAACTTGTGCTACAGAATCAAAGTACGTTAAGAAGAGTATACACACACATACAAGATTTTCACTATACTTTGAGACAGGATGATCTCTGAACTTTTATGCCGAAGTATAGACACTTTTCATGGTATACACAAGATTTTTAGGGAGGCAAATGGCATTGTCTAACTTTGAAGACTTAAATACACAAGACAATTGTATTTGTAAATATTCTCAATGTGTTAGATCTTGTCAGAAAAGAACTTCTGGTCAGCCTGACAAGCTTAAGGCAGATTTCCATTGCCAAATGTCAGTGCACAGAACAGCGACCTAACAATCCACTGGCACCTTTCTAAGCAGATTTGGACAGCTGCATTTTAAAATGTAGACTGCTTTTCCACACACAATACAATAGTGTACTCATTACATGTTCATGTGAGCTAGATGAAATATTTAGTCATGTCCTATCCAATCCTGAGTACAAAAGATAATGAAACCAAGAGTACAGTTCAGTTTTTTCCTAAGCCATTACGAATTTTTTTGCTTATGAAGGAAATGCCCCATCATAATCCTATATTAATAACAACTTTGGCTAAAAAAAGGATAACCAGATTATCATATTTCACATCAGAGTAATTGATATTGATGTGATATATAAACAGTAAATGGTTTATTGAATACAACTTTTACTTCTTAAAACTGGAATATTCCTTCTGCTCATTGAAACCTGTCTCTGAATGTTAGGGAACAGTAAACCATTTATAATTGTTAATAAAATCATATATAGTGTACACTGCATGCATATATGTGCATGACTTCCAGTCAAGAAAGCAAGTCAAACTCAAGAGAGTTATAGGCAAACATTTTAAAGATCACATCTAGTGGAGTTCAGAAAAAAAGCCAAATTGCCACTGATCTGACATTAAGATGACAAAGTTCTCATAAGTTTCTTAGTAGAACATAATAATAGAGTCACAAAACAAAATGTGTTACTCTTAAGAAAATGATGCTGAAATCAGCTTAGTGTCTGTTGAAGGACAGACACCAAGACAATCATCAGCAATTTGAATCTGTTGCTTCATTTCAATTTTAAATTCTAAAAGAGTGTACAATCAACTATTACATTGTTCTCCTCAGGAAAATTTGATCAAAAGTTGCTCGGAGCTCTTAGTGCAACTCTTAACAGAAACAAAAGAAGAATAAAGCTTCAGGAAGCTATGTATGAAAAGAAGTTAAGATAAAGTAAACTAGAAGATCATTTTTGGCTGTGTGTTTAGCAGCTTAAACTCTATTCTAAACAGTCAGGACACTTAAAATATTATCCATTTCATCCTGTCTGTTTCATTATGTGATCAGTATTCAGTAAGTAAATAATGAATATTCTGCAAAGGAATATAGTGTTTTGCACTGCATGGTATCACCAAATATATTCATATATCCAGAAAGAAAATACATCTTTGGATAATTATAATATCCTCTAGAACTGTATCCTTCATGCCATAGTTATCACTTACAGATATTTTCTTTTCATATAGTTGTAATGCCAGGAGATTGGCCTGATACACTACAGTTAAGCAGAAGTCACCTATGGATGACAATACCCACATACCCCATGGTGTGTGTGTGTGTATATGTTCTGAGTCATACTGTGCAAGTACACAGTCATGACTTGTGATATGATTCTCTGTATTAGAGGACTAAGGCCTTCAGATAATTTTCAGTAACTGATGTGATACAATATACTTAGCAGGGAAACAAAACCCCCTGCAACAAGATGAAGCCCTGACACTATTAAAACTCATATGCATGTTATTTCAGGCATACAACAAGGGGGGATTTGATCAAACAGGAAACTGCACTGCTCCTGAAAGAGCTCTTAAAATGTATGTTACCTGTATTTAACAGATACTGTGAGTTGGGAAGGTAATTATTAGACTTTTTTCCATATACCAGCCCTTGTTAAAAGACAAACCATAATTATTCACAGTCTGGAACAGTTTTGTTTGCTTAGAGAAACTGTTTACATTGTTAACCTTAACATCGTGTTTCTCTCCATAACTTTTCATCCAATTTAACATTTCACTCTGAAGCGCTGTTATTTTGGGATTTGTTTCATGCTTTTCCTGGCTGCTGTACTGTATAATCTTCAGCTGCCTCCAGATGTTATTCAAACAGGATTCTAAGATGTTTTTATAGATATCTTTTGCCTTGGACAAATAACCTGTTAATAAAGCAACAAAAGAAGTAATTGCAGTGACAAAAGATAACTGTCAAGCATTGTGTTTAATCTACACACCGATTTAAAATCTGTTGAAGGGATCTTGTGCAAAAACATGAAAATTTAATGGCTCACTGATGCGGAAGGACACTGATAGCACTGATCAGGTACATAAATGGCTTTTACAAAACTGCTATATGCTCTGTAGTATCTGCTCTGTGAGTCCAGCTAGAATTACAAAACACTGCATTGCACAGCTGCAGACGCATTGGATAATGTTTCAGATTTTGCTTAAAATGCCTTCAGATTTAAGTATCTCACTTCCATGGAGCCTAAGAGTATTTTTAGGTGGAAAGTGGTTCCATGCTCCCGGAAGATGGATTGTAAATACAAAAGGACCAGCCATTTTTGCACATTCCTCAGTTTCCACACATAGATTCCAATGAAAATTTGTCATTCTGAGATACAAGACAACACAACATCTATGTGGAAGTTCACATGAATGTTTCTTGGACAAATCCATTGAATAACATAAACAGCAGCATATTTGTAATGAACTGAGCATATCTACTACCAAAGTACAATGTGCAGTGAATTGTACTGATGGCAAAGAATCACAGCTACAAACATGAAGGATGAACTGCAGAACACACATTGGGTTTCTGGGTGTCATTATTTACTTCTGAAAACAAACCTAGTGCTGTGTCCAAGCCACATGTTAACAGCAGATCTCGAACTGTCACCAGCAGGTGTACCAGGGCAGCATGTCTGAACAGCATGATCTCCTTCTCATCCATTTTACCTTTACAAATAGAAGACAGAGGTGTGGTCTGTACAAAACTTCAGAAATCACTCTATACATATGAAATCAATTTAAAAGATCCTGGTACCTCAGAATTTGTATTAAACATATGCAAACATGGATAACCTTCAAAGCTCAGATCTGGTGGTCTTGGAAAATAGTTTATGATACAGCATAACTTTTCCCATGTCATCTGACTCAGAGCAAGTGGCACCCAGGGAAGTGTTTTTGAAAGGTGTGTAGGGATAGATGGTGCTTGTGGGAGGATGGGGCTAACAATTCCTTTGGGTGTGCCATTAAAACCACACTGCTTTATTGATTTTAGTAAGGCAATCTTTAAATATGCATGGAAACTGACAGATTTACCATCTTTAGGTCTGTTACACAAACACAGTTGTTCACATTACTATTTCCTCATCTGTCTAGTCAAGTCACTAAATTTTTCAACAGCACTGTACCTCCAGCTAACCTTTTTTCCAAACATTTCAGAACTTCTTCCAAGAAATAAAAGTACAGATGATCCATTGATCAATAAGTAATTTTAAAGCAGTTATAACCTCAAACTGAGCTTTCCACAGAACCTTTTCAACAAATTTTAGATTTTAAAAGCCACATTCTTCATGGTAAATGATTTGGACCCAGTTAGTCTTCACACATATAGTGAGAATTATTCCTATTGTTTTCCAATAATGCCCCATGTAGAGCTTTAACATCTCATATTACCTTATCCATACCTAATTAGCCTCTCTTGATGAGAATCTTACCCTTATTTGAAAAGGTAGGTCTGGAGGACATCTGCTTCTTCTTGGACCCATGGAGTAAATGAAATAACCTGCGGGCTGCCTATTCTCTACCATGTAACTGTTTTGAACAAATCTTCTAGTACTTGACTGAACAGGAAGGTAATACTAGTCTGAAGAAGAAGACATTTTTGGAAATTGCACACTAGGGATGGCACATTTCATTATCATAAGAAAGATGACTGCTGTAGACTAAGTGGACTTAATAATAAAACATATACTTCAAGATGCTATGAAATGGTAGAGGAAGATAATTAAAGAACAAGTGACTACAGCTGATCAAGGAGTTACTGAACAAGGTGCATTATAAGAGAGAAACAGTAGCTAATTTGGTGTACTGGGATCAACATAACTTTTAATTCAAAAAGACAAGCTTCGGAAGGAAAAAATCAAACTTAAAAAAAGAGCATGCAGAAAATTTAGCTGGAAACATCATGGAAGGCAAAGATCTTGCCACAATTCTGTATAAAAAGACAGAAAGTGAGTGCTCATCTCCATCAGTGAAGGTGTTGAAATTGAAGCACTATGCCCAGCTCTTGACACCACTCACCATAAAAACACAGTGAGGAATACAGGTCATTTAGAAACAAAGCAACATAGTAAGAAACTATTTTATGATGAAAGACTGGAGCATTTGATGATGTTTGGTGTTGAAAGAAAAGACCAGCAGGGGAATAATAGCCTGCTAATAGATCACTACCATCATAGCAAGTGACTGTTTTCTATATTCACTGGGGGATTAAGGAGTAAATGCATCAGCATACTCTGGAGTAGAGTGGAGTAAGAATGGATATTGTGATACTAATTAAAACCAGGAAGGAAATAAAAGAGAAAAATAAGTTCCCAGGGTGGTTTTGGAATCTCCTATGTATAGAGAAAAATATTCATTAGGAATGGATTGAATATATTTTTCCTTGTTTCTGTGGACCTTCCAGCAAGAAAGTTCTTATTTCCTTCTGCTTCTTTAGCTGGGGACAAAATGCAATTTCTATAGCAAGTAAATTGCATTTGAGAGGTCACAAGTTTTCTTACATTAATCTTGAATTAAAATGAGGATTCTTACATCTTTTTTTTCTTGATCTGGAGAGCCAGTAGTAGTTTTTCCTATAATTTTCTCAGTAATGTTTTGCTTTCTGTGATTCATTGATACAGACATAGATACCAGGTTTCTCCCTCATGCTTGTGAAGATGGTGTTTACTTTTTTGTAAGCTCCTTCAAATTAAAAGAACACTGCTGCTGACAACTTTAATATGGTAATTCTATAGATCACAGGCTGTCATTCTGCAAGGATTCACTACCACATTTTTTTTGTTTGCCTTCTTTCTCGTTTGTAGTTACATGATCATTACTGTTTTCTTTGAGAAAAATACATTCGGCACAGAAAGCAATAAAGTTGAGACAGCGACACACACGTCACTGTGAGATAATACAGAAACTTGGCAGGGAGTAGACAGCCTAGTATGTTATCCTCACAACTAGTTCTCAACTATAATTCATATAACTCAACACCCCCCTCAAAATAGCAAATAGCTTTCTAAATGTTTCTCAAACACAGTCTCTATTCTCTTGTGATGTTTCCCTGATTCACTCTTTGTAGCCAAAAATTTTGTAACGGGTCACAGATTTTGTTGGCTTTTGTTTTCATTTTTCTGGCTTTATAGGGCTTTCATGTGTCACATAGGAGAGAAATGAAGTCAGAAAGAAACCAAATTTGTATAGATTTTTTTGGTCCTAATTTCTAACATGGGCATAGCATTTTGCATCATGCAGCTGTCCCAAAACGTAGGTATGAAGAGAAAAGAAACAACAAAAACACACAGAAAACTTTTGGCTTTAAAATCTAGCATGGAAAAATATTAAACATTGTTTGCTACAGAAGCAACATTTCTGAAGCATATGTAAAACACTTTAAAATGAAATTCAATTAGAATACTTTTTGTATTGCAATATTGAAGTTAATAAAGGCAATGCTGAAGAATTAGGAAACTCTTTTGGAACTAAAAGAAGAAATAAATTACTGTAACTCTACAAGATAAACTGTTAAATGTTTTATCATTAATTTATCAAACATCTTGAGCCTTGTGTCACCAATTAAATCTGTATTAGTTTTAAAGAAGAAAAAACAGATTTTTTTAAAAGACATACCTTGTTCAAAGTTATTGCATATCACTTTCTCTTGCTGCTTTAAGAAAAACCGCGTATGGTCAAATTTAACACTGTCAAAGCTCCAATTTACAGAAGCAAGTACACCCAGATGTGTCAAATCTTTTAGTACAGGACTGGCTGCTTCTTCCAAGAGGCTGTATGCCTGGCATTGGCTTTCTGGATAGCACAATAAACAGAACAACATTAATACAGTCCGGGTTCATATACTACTGCTGGACAAGAATATTCAGAAGTCCCAGGAAAACACTAACAACACTGACTTCTCCATGAAAGCTGCCACACTACTGGAAAAAGAGTTTCTCTCCAGGGAGCCTGCTGAGTGGTAGAGTTAAGCTGATCCTCACAGCAGGCAACCACAGTGTTCAATGCATTTCACAAAGTGATCAAACTCCATGATGAAAAGTCAGGATATTCTACTACTGTGACTGACACTAAGATTGTGCTACTATTCCATTGTTCTACAGCCTGCTTCTACATTGTAGTCATTTTCAAAGTACTAAATTTTGTTTTGACTGCTGAAAAGCATTAGTTTTGTTTTTCTCCCCAGCTGCTTTCAAGGAGCCTTGCTTCAAAATTTATTAGGAAAAAATAATATAAAAATAAACTTATAGTTATGATTCCCACCTCAGATGAAAATACTGCTCTAATCTTCCACTGGTTCTATGAAAGACTCCCATTAAATACATGATTGCAGTGAATGCATTTTCATGGAAAACCAAACCAATCTGTGCTAGGCCTACAACTTCTTAGGGCTAGGTATGCTTAATTTGAAGCTGTAAAATATCTCGGAAAAATATTTTCTAGGTTCTTCTCTGCATTTCCTGCTGCATGAGACAATTGTTGTCAGTGCATGTTCTTTGATACAATGCGTTGTACAGCAGCCAGAGCTCACAGGGTAAGGTTCAGTCATGTGTGAGATAAATCCATAATAGATTTCTACTGCATTAAAGACATTTCCTATCCAATTGACTACCATTCCCTTCCATCTCCAATTCTCATTTACTCTGTCAGAGAAAAAAGTGCAAAATAGTAATTGGAGGGTACTGATTGGCATGAAGATATTTCATGTCTGCTAACAGAGATCAGACATAACTCAAAAACTGTACTTTTTACTTTGCAGACTTTAGATGGAATTCCACAGCCTGCTCTCACATCTGCGTCAAACTAAATATCCACTTATTTGCAATGTTGTCTGTCACAGGAAGCAGAGAACAAGCCTAATCATGTCTCTATTTGTCTGAGCAGTACTATTTAATATAAAGCTATATTGCAAAACTATATAGAATTATAGAATCACTGAGATCATCAAGTTCAACTGATTATTCAGCACCACTGTGTTCACCACTAAACCATGTCCCCAGGAGCCACATACACACATTTTTTGAACACTTCGAGGAATGGAGATTCCTCCACTTTCTTGTGCAGGCAGTTCCAATGCCTGACCACCCTTTCAGTGGAGAAAATTTTTCCAATATCCAAGCTTAACCTCACCTGACACAGTTTGAGGCCATTTCCTCTGGTCCTGTCACTTGTTACCTTGGAGAAGACTCTTTATATATTTATATAGAAAATAAACCACACCAAAAAATAGTATACCTGATGCTTGAATACTGACTGTAACACTGTCCTCATTCTCTTGAATTTTTTCCTCTGTCTTTACAGTCTCACAAACAGAATCATCCTCTTCGTGAACGTGCATATGCTGTTCTTCAGGTGGTAGCACAAAATGGTTAAACCACAAGGGCATATTTAGATACAAATACCACAAAACCAGCTCAACGAGTAAGAAAACTCTTCTATAAATTACTCTAAACGCAGAAGTATTTTTAAATTAAGGAGGTTCTATGACATATACCTTTCCTCCTCATGAATTCTTTACTATTTCCATGGGCTCATACCGTATGGAAAACCCATCAAGACACAACAAGAGATCAGGTCTTGTCTGCCTTCAGAGCCGAAGAAGTCAGGCATTACCAGGTCACTCTTCCTTTGGGGAAAAATACAGAGCTGGGAAAATTACGGAGCTGGTACTACAGCTCTATAACATAGGAAAGCTCATGTGCCTTTATATGGAGAAAAAACATGCGTGAGAGGAAAGATGCTGCTGAATATAAGGAGCTCACACTATGAAAAATACCTCAATGAGTATGAGTAGAAAAGGCTGGATACTCTGAGTCATCCAGAGAGAACATGCAAGCTGCAAATTTTTTTAAAAAAAGGGAAAAAAAAAAGAAGGTTGCATATTGAAAATAATTTTTATCCTGTTCTCCAGCTATGTTTTGCAACTTGTTGGTGTTTCTAAGTGGCTTTCCCTTCTTCATGATAAATACTGATGCATGAGCAACAACTTCTGCTGCCTACAATGCTTCCTCTGGCAGTCCTCTCTCTTTACTTCTGGTTGAATTGTTCTCTCCTAAATATTACTGGTTTTTTTCTATTTAAGAGTGTCAGTTTCCTCAGAAAACACAATGATCATGCAGAGACAGAAAGAAAAGAAAAACTGAATTTTTATTCTAGTTAAGTTTAAAAAAGAACCTTCCTGATTTTGAAAAGCTATACTGGGTTCAAAACTGGATCACTGAACTGTTTCTACTAGTTCCTTCCTGTGTATTTTCTAAACTTAATATTACACACAATGGTATCTTTAAAAAATAAGCTAAACAACAAAGACTCCTACAAGCAGTGCTGGCATTTCTTACTTTCAGTTAGATTTAGAATGATCTTTAATAAAAAGTTTTCATTAGTACAAACATATGCAATAATTTATATCATTTCTACACCAGCGTGTTAAGACCCATACATCTTAATGAGTTCTCTATATATCCGACATGGTTCATCTGCAATACAAGTGTCTACCTATACCCATGCTTTAGTCTGCATTTAACCTACTTAAACCTCAACGAGCCTATTCGTGAATGTAACACGGCTTGTCTTTCCATACACTTGGATCCCTTGTTAGGCAATGCAGTTCTACATAGAGCTCACTAGATGGTAGCATTACACTTCAGGTCAAGTGCCTCTATATCTTACCGTAAGATTTGGATCATTGCTTCCTGAGGCCATGAAATGTTTTACACACCTCTACCAGTGTCAGTTACAGAAGAATTTTACCAAAAAATAGTTTCCTCCACGAGATTACATAAGCTTGCAATTACATAAATATCCTAGCTCTATTCTAAAGGAATTATTCCTGAAAGCTTATATGTAACAATTTTAAATTTTCTTTTTTTTTTCATGCTGGGATGTGTCACTAAAGTACAGATAAA